TTAAAAAACGTAAAAAAACCATCAAACACGTACCCAACCAGAATGGTACTTAACAATAAAGTTGCTACCGATGGCCCAGGTGTGTGCAATCTCTTTGCTGAATCCTTTGCTTCCGTATACGAGAGGAGAGACCTACCCTGCAGAAACATTCCCCTATAAACAGTTACCGTAAACAATATCTGCTTAATAAACATCAATGTTAAAGAAGTAATTTAAAAAAAAAGTAATAAAAATAAATACGTGTGGCACTTGGTGACTGCCGCGGTAAAGCTATTGCATAGCATTTTTTATCAAAGCGTAAAACAGGGTTGTGTCATGTCTTCCTGGCTGTTCATACTGTATCTCGACAGCTGTTTACAGAAGCTGAAAAATAGCTGTTTGGGTGTGAAATTGGGTGACATAAAAGTAAATTGTCTGCTGTATGCTGATGATGCAGTGCTTATTGCACCATCAGAAGCAGAACTGCAGGCATTAGTCACGTGTATGAAAGAGGAATGTGAAATTAAAGGTCTCCGTTTGAATGCTAATAAAACTATGGTTCTGGTATTTGAAAAGGACGAAGAGAGAACGAAATGTGAAATATGGGTAAATCAGGAACGTCTAGAACAGGTAAATGAAATTGTATACTTGGGGAGTGCTTTCAGCCGGGATGGAAGATGTGATTTAGATGTGGATAGGCGCGTCGCGGCCGGAAACAAAGTCAATGGTGCCCTGAATGCATTAGTCAAAAGGCAAGGCGTGGTGAAGATTGCACGCCTTGCAATACATAACGCAGTGTTGGTACCGACTTTGTTATATGACAGCGAAACGTGGGTATGCCAGAAGAAGCATAAAAGCAAGTTGAATGCAGTGGAGATGCGATCTCTTCGTAAAATGTGTGGCGTTACCATAGCCGATCGAAAGCGAAACGAAGAGATTCGCAATATGACAGGATTGAAAGATGACCTTATCACAAAAATTGATAGGGGCGTACTCCAATGGTTTGGGCACGTTGAGCGAAGGAGTGAAAACCGAATAGTGAAGAAAATATATAGAGCGAAAGTAAATATTAAAAGGTGTCGAGGTAGACCGAGACTAACTTTCGAAGACCATGTGAGCAAATTGCTCGAAGAAGGGAAGGTCAAGAGTACTCGGATACCTAGACGTGCATGTATGAAGAAGTTAATGAACCTGAAAGAAGCGAAAGAGGTATGTAAGGATCGTGACACTTGGCGATCTGTTCTCTCTGGCTACCCCGTTAGAGATTGTGCGTGAAGATAAGTAAGTAAGTAAGTAAGTTGTCTCTAAGATCTTCGAGTCCTTGATCTCGCCTATATTGTCACGCCATGTCCGCCACGCTATCTCAGACACCCAACACGGATTTATGACATCTCGAACTACGTTCACAAACCTTTCATGTTTTTTGAATTTTATAACATCCTACGTCTACTCACGTTTTCAAGTAGATGCTATCTACACCGATTTCTCAAAAGCCTTCGACAGGGTGAATCACCAGTTGTTAATAGCGAAACTATCATCTTTCGGAATCGGAGGGCCATTACTTTCGTGGTTCGCGGTTCATAATTAAAAGACAGATTTTCATACGTAGTGATCAGAGGCTACTTTTCTCAGAAATATGGGTGCACCTCGGGAGTACCTCAGGGATCCATATTAGGACCCTTATTATTTTCGTAAAATTAACATTGAAAATTCAAAATGTTTCATCTTTGCGGATGATCTGAAACTCACAAGTCTAAACGATCATGATGCACAATCTCTAGAAAGAAATAGGCACGATTCCTCAGGGATCCATATTAGGACCCTTATTATTTTCGTAAATAATGTAACTAATTGTGTACATAATTCAAAATGTTTCATCTTTGCGGATGATCTGAAACTCGCAAAAGCAAGTCTAAACGATCATGATGCACAATCTCTACAAGAAGATGTCGATAGAATTGCTCGTTGGAGCAAGTTAAATGGCATGGATCTCAACGCTTCTAAATGTTCATATATCTACTTTACGCATAAGCATACTGCATCAGAAACCCAATACACGTTGAACAATAATCCACTTCAGAAGCTTGAATCCATCCGAGACTTAGGAATTAAAATTGATGCTAAATTAAGATTTAATATTCCCCTTGAAAATTTTAATTTAATTGTAGATCGACACGCAAAATGCTCGGGTTTTTATACAGGAATTTAAAACGTTTTAAAAAAATCAAAACAAAAAAACTTTTTTACACTTCCTTAGTTAGAAGTAAATTAGAGTACGGCACCATCACATGGAGCCCTAATTATCAAATACACAAAGATCGTATAGAAAGCATTCAAAGACGATTCACTCAATATTGTTCTAGTGGTAATCATATGGAATCCTATTCCACTCGTCTCTTAAAGCTAAAATTAAACTCACTATCGTACAGACGTAAACTACATGATTTAGTTTTTTTTGTACAAGCTTACAAATGGGACTATAGATTCTGCAGAATTACTATCACAAATATTATTCAAAGTTCCCTGCCGTGTACCGCGTTTTTCGATTCCCTTACTCAAACACAAATTGTATAAAACTAATCTTGGTCATCACTCTCTTATACCGAGAATAAGCAGATTGTATAACGAATGTGTCCTTAAAGATAAGACTATTGACTTATTTAGCTATAGTATAAAATCTTTTAGAGCCAAAATTGTCAATCTATTTAATAACTCATAGTAAAAATTATACCATAACTTTATATAAACTCGATATAAATGTTGTTATTTTTATATATTTTTAATTTTCGCATGTTTCCTATCCAACTGCAGAGAGGTGTAAGACAGGGTGACGTTATGTCCCCGAAACTCTTGACCGCTGCATTGGAAGACGTTTTCAAGCTACTGGACTGGAAAGGATACGGTATTAACATCAATGGCGAGTACATCACTCACCTTCGATTTGCCGACGATATAGTCCTTATGGCAGAATCGCTGGAGGACTTAAGCACTATGCTCAATGACCTCAATAGTGCCTCCCAACGGATAGGTCTTAAGATGAACATGGACAAAACAAAGATTATGTTTAATGTCCATGTCACACCTATGCCGGTAGTTGTTGGGAGCACTATGCTCGAAGTTGTTGACGAGTACGTTTACCTGGGACAAATAGTCCGACTAGGTAAGTCCAACTTCGACCGAGAGGTCAATCGGCGGATTCAACTCGGCTGGGCAGCGTTCGGGAAATTACGACATATCTTCTCGTCAGGTATACCTCAATCTCTAAAAACTAGATTGTATTGATATTGATACAACCAGTGCGTGTTGCCAGTGATGACTTACGGATCTGAGACGTGGTCCTTCACTGCTGGCCGTATGAGGACGCTCAAGGTCGCTCAGCGAGCTATGGAGAAGGCTATGCTCGGAGTTTCTCTGCGTGATAGACTCAGAAATGAGGATATCCGCAGTAAAACCAGAGTGACCGACATAGCCCAACGGATTAGTATGCTAAAGTGGCAATGGGCCGGCCATATAGCTCGAAGAACCGATAACCGATGGGGAAGAAAGGTTCTCGAGTGGCAGCCTCGTACCGGTAGGCGTAGTGTAGGGCCACCCCCCACTAGATGGAGTGACGACCTGGTAAGATATGCAGGAAGTCGATGGATGCAGGTGGCTCAGGACCATGCTTTGTGGCATTACTTGGGGGAGGCCTATGTTCAGCAGTGGACTTGTGAAGGGCTGTAATGATGATGATGATGATATGTTTCGTATTGTCTTATTGTTTTTGTTTGTTTTATATTAGTATTTTACTCGTACTTGTAACAGTATTTCATGCCGGCACACCGCCTGCAACTTTACAAGGCGCAGGTTCGGCCGCACATGGAATACTGTTCCCATCTCTGGGCTGGGGCTCCCCAGTACCAGCTCCTTCCACTTGACCACATCCAGCGCAGAGCGGCTCGAATCGTCGACGACCGAGTGCTTTCCGATCGGCTCGATTCTCTGGCACTGCGAAGAGATGTTGCATCCCTTTGCATTTTCTTTCGCATATGCCATGGAGAGTGCTCTGAGGAATTGTTCGGATTAATCCCAGCCGCCAAATTTCGTGAACGCACTACGCGGCAAACGTCCCGATACCATCCACACCATCTGGATGCTTGGCGGTCCACGTTTCCTACGTTTCAAAAGGAGTTTTCTTCCGCGTACAACCTCTCTGTGGAATAATTTACCACCAGCGATTTTTCCGGACCGATACGACCTGGGGACCTTCAAGAAAAGAGCTTACTCCTTTCTAAAGGGCCGGCAACGCGTCTGCAATTCCCCTGGTGTTGCAGTTGATCATGGGCGGCGGTAGTCACTTAACATCAGGTGAGCCACATGCTCGTTTGCCCCCTCTTCTATAAAAAAAAAAAAAAAAACAATTATTAAGTTATCGTACAGTTATCGTCTTTTTTAAACATGCTGTAACTACCTTTAAATGGAAACATGTAAATCTTAGTTCCTAAGCCTATTGTCACATTTTTTTTCAAAACAACATGTTATTCCGTTGGTGGTTCTATCAATAAAATAAAAATGAAAAAATTGCCCTACCAAAAAGGTAACAATTTTGCACGTTCTTAACAAGCTTTGTCTCTGTTCCGTTTATCTACTCATGTGGCTGTGGTCCATTGGCATCAACATCAATCTTCGATTAAGAATCTTCATACAAATGCGTTGACATTTCTGAGGGTGAATCTTTTTACTGAAAACGAAGCGTCTCATCTAAGATGCTTCGTTTTCAGTAAAAAGATTTTTTAGTTTTCTGCACTCACCATAGGAAACACAGCAGCATTAAGCTGCTATTCTACGCTGATATTCTGTGAGAGCGTGGTCCTTCCCCGGTTGAGACGATCCCTTAGTGCTGCAACCATAACCTAGCAACATGGCTCTACCACATATAAAACTTGGCAGGCAAGTTGAAGGTCGTAGGGCCAGACGTGAGCACCTTTGCCACTGGTGCTTGTTGTATGTACTACTTGTTTTTCAAAGTTCTATTTCTACAGTTAATCATCTCATCGGATGGCACTGTGGGCATGTGCTACGAGCACAGCTCGGCAGAGGGCGTGGCAGTCATCAGGCTAGCAGAGCGGGCGTTGGCTCGCGCAGAAGTTGCCGACCGCCCCACCCCACCTCCAGCGCTACTGCCGGCGCCACAGGCAATGCGGTGGAACCTCACGCCAGATCTGCACCAGACTATCGATCTGGCCGCAAAGCAACTGGATCGGTATGGTTACGTAGATTGTAAGAATTTGCATTAATTTTGTACTTTCAGTAAATTTAATTCTGATACTTAAACATTTTGCGTTAATTAATAGAATCAGACATTAAGTACTTTGTGGAAATCCATTTTATTAAAAGCGTTAAAATTTTATTAGCAAAGATCCGTATAAAAAAATTAAATCCCCTCCCTGAGTCGCGTGTACTGTCCACGTCACCACTACCCTCAGCACGACTGCTAGGAAAGACACTCCACCGTCGACACGTGTTTCGTCTCTATACGAGGCATCCTCAGGTGAAGTCCTCAGGTAGTTTATATATTTATTTATTTATTTACACTTTATTGTCCCTAATAAAAAGGATTACAAAGAGCGGACTTAATGCCTTTAGGCATTCTCTCCGAGTCAACCCGGTAGTTGACCGCTAAATTTTAAATGTCACCAAAATTAATATCGTAATATAAAACATTAATTAATTCATAATAAAATATTTAAATAATATATCAAACAAGCAATCCGCTCCGGCTTCACAGGGATGAATTTAGGATCTTGACAACAGTGTCACCTAGCGAGTCCAATTGTAAATCTAAATCATTCAGGGACGCACTCAGACACACACAAAAATTTTCATCAAAAGTGATCCAGCCGTTTAAAAGAAGTTCAGTGACAAAGACACGTATAGAATTCTTAGCTCGAGAGCTTAGCGCTCGCTCTAAATTTCACAGTACGCGAGCAACGTGGGTTCGAACCCCGCCGGCACCAATGAAATTGTTAATTGCAATTTTAAATGCTGATTTTCCACGTGCTTGGCGGTGAAGGAAAAGAACGTGAGGACACCGGCATGTGTGAGAAATAAAAAAATACATCGCAGACATGAGAAGTCCGCCAACACGCCGCTAATTCGGGCAGCGCTGCGGACATTTCCTTGCCCTAAAACCCTCTCAGAAGTGCCTGTTCCCAGCAGTGCGACGTATATAGGCGTATGTAACTTTAAAGATAATTTAATTGTTCATTTAATCGAAAATAGATGTAGTTGGAAACCGTAAGCTCTTTCTGACATTTGCATATGTCGCTTGACATAACAGCTACGAAGCGACATGAGGGGGTTGAGTTTCTTATGGGTGATCACGTGCAGCGTAGCACGTCCCGTGCAGTTTTTGCGGATTTTAATTATTTAATATTTGTATAAATAAAACAATCATTTTTATAGAATAAAGATGAAAAACGAGCACACGGGTCACCTGATGGTAAGTGGACAGTAAATATATACATCTATCATCAATTAACAACCTTGAGGACTAAGATGGAATGCCTCGTTAACAGTAAGAAAAGTTTCCGGTTCTCTACACTCACCATACGAAACGCTGCAGCATTATTCTGACTTTACGCTGGTATTCTGTAAGAGCGTGTCCCATTTGTGCTGCAGCTATGTATACTAAGCATGGCTGCAGCAGGAACCTCTCACGTAGTAATCATTTAATTATTATAGTGAGAAGTTGCAATGACTTTCATTATACGAAAATGTTGTTTGCAGTCAAATAGCGGACTTGGACTTCAAGGTGTACACGTACGACAGATATGGACGCGAGTTCATGAAGTCCTGCCGCACCAGCCCCGATGTCTACATCCAGCTCGCGCTGCAGTACACTTACTTCAAGTAAGTGTCATCTTATAATTTATATTTAAGTTGTATAAAGTTAGAAAGAAACATATTGTGGATGGCGGATAATACCAGTAGTGAATATGCGAGTGACCGCTGATAAAAGATACTTTTACTTTTTTGACGGTTACAAAACAACCAGCTGATTTATTCGTCCCAGTGGCCTTTTATGTATTTTAGAAACCTATTATTGAACATTTATATTTTAATACTTTACATATAATCATATCTATATAAAAAAAAAAAAAAAAAAAAAATATATATATATATATATATATATATATCATAAAATAACTGTTAGTTAATATTTAAACTATTAATCACTGATAATAACCGTTTTTAATTAATTTTAAGTACCTAATTAACATTTAATAATATTAAATTCTTCGCCGGAAGTTGAAAAGCGGATGGCTTCATTATTTAGTTTATTCTTAAAAAAGTAAACGTCAATGTGCAATAAAGGTTTGTACATCATCATACGATGAGCTCGTGAACCCAGGAACAGAAAAAAAATAACAATATATTTGACCACCACACAACATGACAAGTAGTTTTGACTGTCTCTTGATGTTATCCTAACACTACTCAAAGTACTGTAAAGAGACCGAAACAGGTGAAAATCTGAGGGTGCAAAGTCAGGACTTTATTATGGTGGATGCTTTAACATAAAAGGATTATTCATAATATTTTATATAAATACTTAAGCTTTTCCTTGTAATTTGGTGTTAATACCGATAAATATTCTTAATTTTCTTTTTCGTTTGATTGTTATTATATTGTGTGTATTTTAGGTGTGTGAAATATATTCTGTGCTTGTGAATTGTTAATTTGACGTCTGGCGGTGGGCGATGCCATTCATAGTTGATATTTGTACTTTATTTATATGGATTTATATTAATTTATGTCTATATGTTTAAAGGTATTAGAATAATGTTAAAGGAAAAAGTGGTTAGGATGTCTAAAATCATCGCTATTGTTTTCAGTGCATCATAAAATTACACAACATAAAATCTTTTTGTTGAATAAGAATTTTAACACTTTTTAATCTATTTCATGCTAGATCGAGGCACCGTCAAATAATATCACTTAAATTAAAAAAAATATCTCTGTGTGCACTACACGTAGCGTTTATATTTATATTTATGAGACGAGTTACCAAATATTCTTAGCAAGCAGTTGAGTTTAATTTTAGTATCCGCCGCAAAACTTTTAATTGAAAGATGACACACAAACTTATCAGTGAAGTGACAAGCCTCTAAATTAAAACCAGCACTGCCTTTGTAGCATTGTGCTGAGTTGGAGACCAATTTGGAAAACAGCTCGAATTGTTCCAATTTACAAAACAGGCTCAAAAAAAGATGTTGAGAATTACAGATCGGTATTAATCTTATGATAACACGGTATTATCTTATGAAAGATTAATACATATGCGTTATATCCTAGTCTTCACAATATAATAACTCTACGGCAGCATGGTTTGTTTAAGAAGTGTTCAACTATATTTAACTTACTAATTTATACCAACTACTTATTTAAGAATCTGGATTGTAACATCCAGACTGATCACATAGACCGTAAACTACTTCTGGAAAACCGAGGCTTTGATGGCATTTATGGAAATTTGTGGAGAAGGTTTAAGACGTATGTGATTAATCGTAGACAGAAAGTAGTCATTAGAGATTTTGAGCCAAATATTGTGCATATAAGTTCTGATGTGCCAGAAGGATCAATCTTAGGGCCTTTTATTTTTATCAATGTGTGAAAAATAATGTGCATTAATGATGTTAATAGTTGTTTCAAGTTTTGTAATTTTATTCTATATGCAGATGATATCAAAATTTATCGCAAAATTCAATATTATCATGATCACCCTAACTTTCATAAAGTTTTAGATAATTTTTCATCTTACTGTAAACGCAATAAGCTAGATTTGAGTGTTAATAAATGTAAAGCCACAATATTTACCCGTATGCGTCAACCAAGTAATTTTAATTAATCTTTATGTGGAATTCTACTTGAAAAAATCATAAAACTAAAGATTTAGGAATGATATTAGATAGTAAACATATCCTTGATTACAAAATGAAAGCGTAATTAATAAGGCTCTTAAAATGTATGGTTTCGCGATGCGTATTGGACGTGAATTTAAAAAAACCTCTCTTTTATTTGCACCCCTATGAATCTTTAAAAAGATCACAACTTGATTGAACTATGCTGTAGCTATTTGGTGTCTGTATTATAATAAATATATAGATAAAATTGAATCCATTCGGAAAAAGCTTTTTCGTAGTATAAGTTACAAGTACAGGTGGCAACTGCTGGTCGAATATAACTTACTAAAATTAAAATCCAGACATTAATATGTTCAAGCTAAGCTATAGCTACTGTACGATATCTGTCATAACAGGTACGATAGTATAGAACTACTCAAGATGATACAATACAGAGTACCATATAGACCAATGTGTTGCAGAGTTCGTGCCAAATATTCATTTTTTATTAATAAATGTCGAACCATGTAGGTAAAAGGTCCCCTATATATGTTGGTAAATTTATTTCTTTATTTACGTACACAAAACAGAATAACACCAAAACATGAACAATTGAAGATAATAAACGCAAAGTTACAATCTGCATGGTTTTGTAAAACGTGCACACAACATGATATTAGGTAACAGTAACGAGTTTAGAGCGCAAATACTTATAACCTTACTTACTAACAAACTATACTCATAAACTTATGTTTTTTTTATAGGATAAGGGGACAAACGAGCACACAGTCCACCTGATGGCAAGTGGATGTTGTGGTCCATAGACATCTACATACATTTATCCTCGATTAAGAATCAAAACGCAGAAGTGTTGTCAACCCTGAGGACAAAGATGAAATGCTTTGTTTCCAGTAAAAAAAGGTCTCCAGATCTCAACACTCACTACGAAACACAGCAGTGTTAAGCTGATATTTTATGCTGGTATTTTGTGAGAGTGTGGTCCTTCCCCGGTCGAGCCCACTCATTCCTGCTACAACCATAATATAGCTGCAGCGTAGTTCTACCACGTAATATAAAATTATGTTGTGGAAAATTTAGAAAAATTAAATCTTTATTAAAATAAATTTACCTTTATATTTAAATTTTAATTGTAAGCCTTGAATGCGTTATTTACAAAGTATATCTAATACGGATTTTTTGAAATTGTTTACTTTGTTATTAAAATGTTTATATAATCAATAACTCATTGTATAGGCGACACATTCTTACAAGAGGATTGTAATAGGACATATTATTTTTATATATTCGCAAAGCGAAAGTCGACGATGAGGCTTAGTATTAATCTTGACAAATTAAGGGAGGTTGTTATAATAGTACTTTGGAATTTATAAAAAAGAATTACTTTCAGTACTAAGGGGAGAAGTATTTTTCTTTATTATTAGATTATTTGAAAACACAAACATTGTAGTAGATGAAATAATTGTACGCTATTCTCAGTCTGAACTTTTGTTAATAATAATTGGTGGTCAACGATGTTGGTTGCACTATTATATTGTACTGCTTGTAGTTACTGTGAAATATTGTGTAAACTGTTTTTTGAATAAATAATGTAACAAATCCTCCGTGAAACAGACATAGACATGCGTTTTATTGGCATACACTCACACATTAAGAAGTAAACAGAAACCTTACAAGATAAGGAAAACATAAATACAAATAAATCTTTGCAAGAAATTTACTTTCCGTAAGTAGATTCCACTCCGTGCATGCTAGCGCAGGTACAGTAGCGTTGATTTTCAGCGGAGCCCGGAAACCGGAGGCATCCGTATTTACACGTATTAGAGTTACGCTAAAACCATGTTATGGTTATAGCACGCACGGTTCGGCTCAACTAAGGTCCACCACGCTCTCATATAATACCGTATTGAAAGTGTAAAGAATCGGAGACCCTTTTTACTGGAAAAGAGGCATTCCATCTTAGTGGTGACAACGTATCTGCATTTTGATTCTTAATCAAGCATAAATGTAGATATCTATAAGTCACAGCATCCAGATACTATCAGATGCACTATGTACTCATTTGTCACCTGTAATCTGTAAAAAAACGTAAATGAGTGGTGTGTTTGCGCAGGCTGCACGGGCATCTGGTGTCAACGTACGAGTCGGCCTCGCTGAGGAGGTTCCGCGACGGGCGCGTCGACAACATCCGCGCAGCACACGCGCCCGCGAGAGCCTGGGCCGCCGCCATGTGCGCGCATGACCATCAGCAGCACGACGACACCAGGAAGGTCTCCTTCAACTTGTACGGGGTGAGGCGCTCGCTACAGGATTAGGGGCGAGTGGGATAATTACGAACACTTAATGGAAAATCGGTTAAAAATGAAATCAAATAAAGTTACTAACGCTGTTTATTAGTAAGAAAGTAAACAGCTGCTTTTTCTAGTGAAAGTATTTCGTTACTGTCCGCTTTGATGGTTTTTCTAAATTTTATAATTTATATTTAATCTTGACTTTTTTGATAATAGTATGGCATCTGCAATATATTAGAAAAATAAATTAATTTTTTTCAAAAAAACTTTTATTAGTGCACAATATTCATCACGGAAGTGTTTCAAAGGGCAGAGTGTAGATGATAGGCTAAAATATTACGTATAATGCTGTATATTTTTTACATTTGTAACAGTAATGATAATACTTTAATTATTTTGGAATAACTACGACGTCCGAGATTTCCCCACTAAAATTCAAATCGTCCGCCACGTAAAATGGCTAAATTATTGTTTTTATTTACGTTCGAATCGCTTAGCGAACGTTGCATGTATAAAAAATGTTGCTAGATAAGGTTGTTAATACAGCAAAATGATCACTAATTTCTGTGTTACACGTAAAATATTTTACACCAAATTAAATTTACTCAAATATTAGCTTCAATTGTAAACAAAACTTCAATTAAGCTTACCTTGCACTGCAAAAGTTATCTCATTTCACCGTTTACTGTTCAACACTAGTTTAGTTCACTAGTTAATTGTTAATTGTATCGTACAAAATATCTCTTATACTTTTTAAATATAACTAAACAAGCGTGACCACCATTACCCGCTGTGCGTGATACCCTCCCTCTCCCCCACGCATACGCAAATCTTCTAACCGTTATCCCGGCTCGTGGTTCCATGTTAACGACATCCTGTATATGATGTCCAAGTTAACCACGAACTGAGTCAATGAATATACAGAATGATAGATGCTAATCGGTTTGTCTGAGTTCAGTGTCAGAAAGTTCAATTCCATACATCCAATATCATCAAAGTCTATTGTTAAAAAAGGTGTCTTCCATAAATTACTTCATAGGGAGGGCATTTGCCTTGGTTACCAAGCCAATTAATTAAGTAATCAATAATAACTAATATAAGAACGTGAACAAATCAATCTGTAGCTTCAGGATATTTGCCAGAGTTATCACGCTGCAAGCGTTTTTCATTATTAGAGTAGTTATCAGGAAGATGTTGCAGCTCATCTCCTGTTTCATTTTCGTGCTTCGTCTCTTACGACAGCCACGGGATAATATGGGGCAGTAGATCCTCTCAACCCGCCACTACACGGCGACACCGACGGCACAAGCCGCGTTCTAACCTTTTCAATTTTCTCATCGCAGGAACAAAAGAAACTAGAACTATTCGATGAGGCTGCTCGTAAACAAACCACGATCATGGAAGCCAATATCCAAGGCCGCGGCATCGATAATCACTTGCTGGGACTCCGTGAGGCAGCGAGGGAGTCGCTTGGCGAGTTGCCGCCCCTCTTTACTGATCCCACGTACAAGCAAATGATCGAGTTCAAGCTTAGCACCAGTCAGGTATTGTGTAGTTTAGACATACAAGCATATTGTTTTCATTAATAAATACTTTAACCATTCCTGGTTAGTTTAAAATGCTTGTGTAATGGTTCACGACGGTAGTCGAAATGCGTATTCGAACCCACGACCTTTTGTGTTCACGGGCCGCACCCTGCCTTTAGGTTACAACTCACGTCTGTTATCCTCCCTGATCCTGCAACACCTCTCTCGCTTCTTTCACATACATTACCTACGCATCATCATCATATTACAGCCCTTCGCAAGTCTACTGCTGAACATTGGCCTCAAGGAATCCATCGCCTGCTATCTGCATCCATCGACTTCCTGCATATCTTACCAGGTCGTTACTCCATCAATGAAAACAAAGGGTTTTTACTTCGTTTACCTATAGAGGATGGCACTCAAGAACCTTTCTGCCCCAGCAGCTGTCCGCATTTTCAATAAATTATACCTTCCAGGCTTATTTAAAACTTACGAATACCAACATCAACAACCAACAGAGACTAAATTGGCGCAGAACTTTCCGGGTCTCTTAACCGAATTTAAAAAAGAGGAGGAATCTCAATTCGGCTGTATGTGTATGTACGCGATATCTTTGTCAATTGCGAACTTATTTTGATGATTCTTTGTTTCCTTAAATTGATTATAACACAAAGGTGATCTCATATAAACGTAAAACTCCTAGGTGCAAATATAATAGGGGATGGAAATGTTAACTTGTGTAATCAGGGATTTAGCTCTTCTTACTATGTCTTGTTTGTATTACACGAGTATGGCTCAGCGCGACCCTACAACGACAACTTGCTCAGCTTAAACAACTTGTTTTTTTTTTCCTGTTAAACCTCAATTGGAGAATTGGATCAACTTTTTTAATTTTGATTTTTTTGTTTCGAATAAAAGGCCACTATATTTTAAAAAATTTATATTATTTATAGGAAACAAAAACAAAAATGGTCTCTATACTATTTTTGTGTAAATCATAAGAAAAATCCGTACATTGTTTCCGGTAGGTGACGACTACCACCGAGGGCACGTTCATGGGCTACGGCGCAGTGGTTCCAGACGGCTACGGCTGCAGCTACAATCCTAAGAAGGATTCTATCATCTTCTGCATCGCGTCCTTCTGTTCCTCCAACGTCACCAACACCGAAGCCTTCTGCCTTTCCCTCGAGGAAGCTCTCAACACAATGAAGCTAATGTTCCAGAATCGTAAGGTAGACAACTAATAGTCAAATTATTTAAAATATATTATGAGTAACTTGTAATAGACTTAACTTAAAAATAACATATTTAAAAATATCTAAATTGAAATTTTTAAAATGAATTTAATAATAATCCACTATTTTAAACTAGCCACATTGTATGGCATTGCCGAGGCGTGTGTAGGTGAATTCTTCAGGGTTCTTCGAGTGATCTGAATATAAAAAATAAGTGCTCCGTTTTGCTAATTTTGGCAGGGAACACTAAAAACTATCTATTTATACTGTTATACCAAAAGCTTAATTGTTAAACTTCTACCGTCTAAAACATATCATTAGAATATTAAATATAATTTAAATAAGTTATTAAACTGTTACATGTTTATCAAATAATTACATTTATATATTAATATTACATATAAACTTGATGTTAATAATCTATAGTATATAGGTGAATATTATATTATACGCACATTCTAAATGTTTTTAAATTTAATTAAATTGGAATATATTAAGAAAAGTGTTTATCGATAAGGAAACGGAATCATATCATCAATATTATATTACTATAATATTAAATACTTATAGGTATCTACCCAAAGCTTGTGCTGTGTAGTAATGTAGGTAGGTATTCAATATTACCGACACTAATAGCCAATTATCTGTGTTCCGAAAAAAAATTAGGTATTGATCTACCTTGAGGAATTTTGGAGGCATTTTATAGTACATCAGCTAGTCAGATGTATTATCCAATGTTTATTATTAAGTTATGATATAGTTATCGTATAGTATCTAATATTGTCAGGATATTTTTAAGCATATTGCCGTGCTCTCTATGTCTTATGCAAATTAGCTGGTTTGATTCCGCCCCACTGCTCTTAGATTTTGACCTGTGAACAGTTGTTCCTTTAATATACATTTAATATTAAGTTGATTTAATATTAATTTTTATTATTTTTATCACTAGACTATTTCTAATAAATAAGTGGTCCATAAATGAATACTAACAATAGAAATTAAACGACCATTTTTATTCTGTTTTATTATCATTATTTTTTTGTTTGTTTTTAATCTGTACAAATTGATTATCTTTAATTACGTAGGATTAAATTAACAATACCATCGTACTAATTTATAACGTAAAATAATAAAATTAGCACCGCTTTCAGTAATCAAATACAAGGAGTATTTGATTAAGTAGGTACTGTATTTTTTTCAACTAGTATGAAAGCGTTATTTTCTATTCTTAAACTTAAAATCCTCTTTGTTAATTTTAATCAGAAGTTTTTATACTATACATATTTAATGTTGATTACTATACATACGTTATAAGGTATGTTATTGAAGGTAACATATATTATTAAATAATTTTATTAGATATTATTGTCTCAGTCATACAAGAAATACCTACTTGCCCTATTCCTGGACCTGCAAGTCCTGTGAAGCTTGTGTAGATTAGAACGTAACTTGAAGAACGAATATCTAGTATTAATTACGAATCAAAAGAGGAAATAATTCAACATTTAAGAATATTTTAACACTAATATTACAAACGTTTTTAAGATGAAACTTATCTTGACGGATGTCTTAATAAACTACCTAAGTAATTACCTACTAACTGTAGGCACAATATATAATATATATTTCTCTGCTAGAGGTTTTTAAGAACGTGTTTTAAGAACGCACGATTTATGTTATAGAAAACGTAAACTTTGTAGTTGTTTTAATTTATGTAGTTCCATAAGTTCGTATAGGCACAATGTAGTAAAAACATTGTGCCTAACAAGCTTAGATCGTAGGTATACCTACATTAAATTTCGTAAAATCGATTAAAATTAGGACATATTTTATTTAATGTAATGATATTGACCATGACATAAGTAATTTATGACAAATTAATCGATGATATTTTTATTTATTTAACTGCACGTTTTACCACAGAATAAATAATAGTACTACGTAGTTTTACTTCCTTGATGGCTTATACGTATACCTATGTCCCAGAATCAATGGTATTAATAATTGTTATCCTAGAGAAGGAATTAAAAATTAAAATGTCAATGCTGTGGTGATAACATAACTTTTAGTATTGTAAAATATTGCGTATTAGCGAGTAGATCGTTATCATATAAAAAAGTAAAAATAATTATATTTATAAATGTATTAATAGGCCTTGCAGCTGTGAGTGCTTAGAGTATTATTGCTTTAAATCAAAAATACTTCTAAAGCTGCTTTAACTTTAAAAAGTAGCAGTGTAATCACACAAAAAATTTAGTGTTGTGTGATGATATACCCAAAAATGTTTTTAGTTTATAGTCTATGTATGCATATTGCAGTACTATTCTAAGCAGTTATATTTATATCCGTATTATTATTATATATTTTATTTCCTATCTCAGACCAACGTAGCATATACAGACGGAGCGCTGCGTGCAATTTCAAGTGACGCTTAAACCATGCTTAACTTCTTGACTCACGCACATATCTTTCTTCTTTTTTCATTAACAGCCCGTATAGCCACTAGCACACATATGCACTTATATCTAGAGATGGGCTTAATATTCGTTTTATATTCGGTATTCGGCATATTCGGCAGCTTTACCGAATATTCGTATTCGGCCGAATATTCGGCTAAATCAGCGAACATTAGTTTTCATAATGTCCAATATATTGAAATGTACGAATTGAGTAATGCGATGTCTTTTACTGTTGAAAGTATATTTTATTTATGGGTTAAATCTACTTACTCTAGAGTGCCTCAAATGCATAACTCTATACATTTATGTTTTTGAGGAACTGTAGATTTATTTCCGATTATGGCAAATAGAAACTTGATAAAATGTTTTTGAAATCAAACAAAGAAACATTACATTACATTAGTACATTTCACTTTACTTTGGTCGTCAGTTTCTCTAAAATAAGTCCAAATAGTAAATCGTCTGCCGCTCTATTTTATCATATACAAATTATCAATTTTCACTAAGAATAAAACAACGGAATATTTTTTTATCACAAGAATAGTCAAAATAAGCATGTGCCGTCAATTTGCTCAGTACTAGATGATGCAATAACTGTTAGGTGTGGCGAGGAGCGAGAGGCAGGATCCGGCGCTAATCCCGCGCGCTTTACGGTAACAAGTTTCGACATAAATTAGTTGGGTCCCGAGGTTATCCTGCCGAATAATGTTCGGCCGAATATTCGGTTCGGCAAAAATTACCGAACATTCGGCCGAATATTCGTATTCGGTGAAATCCATATTCGGCCTATCCCTACTTATAACCATGATGTCGCAAATGATGAAGACGTATCACTATGATTGCGTTTTCTTACAAAATTTGAGCATAGTTATGGCTTCGCAAAGAGCATAATATACGTAAGTGTCCTATACAGTGGCTGGGTTTAGGCGTCACTTAAAATGTCCGCAGCGCTCCGTCTCCTCCTCTATCTTTTTGTTGGTCGGAGTTCCCGGTGTAGATTTCACGGACAATGTTAACTAGAGAAAGTTTTAGTTTTAATAAAAATTTAAGACATAAAAATATGTCCTGTTCTTTAGCTAGAAAGAAGGACAGTATTCCTCTAGTACGTCGTAGATTGTAGTCAAGTAGTCATAATAAGATATAAAATAACGTAAACATATCAAGCGTCGAGCCATCATGTATGACATGACCAAGAATATCGAAAACATATCAAAGTAATTTAACATATAGTTATAAGTAATCCTAGTTGATAGAACTTATTAAATTATATTGTTCTATTATTAATGTATTAAAATAATATATAATATTGAAATAATTTTCTAGAAAAATATTCTTAACTAAATTTAAAGCGCGTTATTTACATAATGATGACGTGATGTCTTATTATTATTACTCACAAAACTAATTTATAATAATAAAGTTTTCAATGTATTACGTTTATTCTATGACTACTTAGTCAGTTAGTTGTTACATTTTTATATTAAATTAACTTGTTATATTCTTAAAATGCTTTTTTTATTCTTATTTTCAGTCTTATTAAGTCCTTACTTTAATCATTGTAAGTTTCAAACACTCATTCAGATATTGGTGGCTTTTTGGTTTTGACATTCTCTTCGAGTCAACTTAGCGCATTATAAATTACTTTGATTGCATATAAATTATTATACAAATACATACAAGAGATCAAGGTAATTATAACTTGCTCTCTTGCTTACGCTCTCACTCGGTTACCTATTTAAAAAACACCGTACCCGTAGGTAACGGGTTCTTTAAAATAATTTATATTCGTTAGGTTATATCTACATATTAAGAAAATTTGTTACCACATTTTATTGATAGAATTTCAGTATTTTATGCACTGATGATGATTCTACTTTTAGAATATCATTGTTCACGCCTTAACATATTGTGTGTATTTAGAGAATAAATTACAAACTGATTTGGTCGCGATCAGTTTAACTGTTGCGTGTCTATTTTAAATACATTTTTAAATTTTTAGCTAATGATATATTTTATAGTCAAATATTAATTATTATTAGCTAGATATAAAAAACATAGAAGTTTTATTGTGCGAATATTACCTACATGCATTAACATTGTAAAAAAAATAAAAACATATTAACGTTGAAATTAAATGTTAGGAATATTTTTATCCTTGTTTATTAAAATATTTATTAAAAATAACCATAGTAAAATTTATCTTAGATATTGATGTTTGTATTAAAGGTTGGTTGTCATAAAATCTTACGTAATTGTTATTAATCGTATATGAAATGTATGTTTACTCATATAAATCAAAAATGTTGGTGTTATTCTCAATCCTAAAGTGTCAATATCTATAGTAATCGAAAAACTTCGACGTCAAAAAAAACGCAACATATAAATAGAAGAAGTCATACTGCGGACTCTGACGTCCTCTAAGTGCTTGTATGAGATGCAAATTGAATTAAAATAATCAACGATATGTGGTCACTGAAGTGAATGTAACTAAACATATCATTAGAAATTAAGAAATTATGTGTCAATTCGATGTTGGTCTCAATAAAATAT